ACTCATGGCAACCCAGCTCCAGGTTGAGCCTGTTGTTCAGCATCTTAGCTGTGGAGGGCAGTGTCACTGGCCCTCATATGTGGGATCCGAACCGAGGCCCTCTGGCTTCCCAAGCCAGTTCTTAACCATCGCGCCACTCAGCCGGCCCTATAAACATTTTTTAAATATACTTTTTAAATTCTTGTACTGTGTTTTATCAATGCTATACCTGATATAACAGAGTCTGGGACTTAGGACTCTTATAATGAAAAAGGGGAAATTTTATTTTTAAAGACTGAAAGCTGACTTTAATTTTGAAAATTTATATTGAAAGTAGCATACTATAATAACCATTAAAAATCCCATGTTTTGGGCCGGCCGAGTGGCTCAAGTGGTTAAGCGTTTGCTTAAGAGCACAAGCTCTGAGCAACAGAGTTGCCGGTTCAATTCCTACAAGGGCCAGTGAGCTTCGCCTGAGCTGAGCTGCCAGTAGTTGGCAGGATGGCTCAGCTGGTGAGAGCACGTGCTCCTAATGACAAGATTGCCTGTTCAATGGTGGGCTATGTCCACCCATGACTGGGACTGAACTCTGCACCTTGAACTGATTTGCCGCCCGGATTGCTCAGTGGACAGAGTGTACGCTTTTAACAGCAAGGTTGCTTGTTCAACTCCCACATAAAAAAAAAAGAAAATAGGTTTTTTTATGTTGCTTTTATGGCTTAAAAAAAAAAATCTTATAATAAAATGAGAAGTTTTACAAAGGCATGTTAGAGGATTACTGCTTTGTTTACAGAAATGAAAACTATAGGGCACAGAACTGCTTCTTGGGTCGAAAGGCAATTGGCAAAAGCCACGGAACATTTTCATAATGAGTTAGTCAGAAATATAAGATCATCAGGAATATCCAGGAAGTAATAGTGACTGCCAGCAGGCTTTAAGAGGCAGGAAACATTTAGTATGTTGGTAAACCATTTTAGCACATCAGCAAATGCATATAAACAGTTTTAGGGTTGGAAATTATTACCATAGGGAAAAGCAGCAATTAGAAGAGAAATTTTAATTAAAAATGTAAAGATTGTTTTTTTAAATTCTTGAGTTGTCCCTCTTTGCCAGTGTAGCAGAATCTAAAAGATAACTCATAGAATGGGAAAGATTATATCTAAAAAAATTTTGGAATTCTTAAAAAGGAAACCATTACAGAATGTAAAATTATACTGGAAATATATGGGGAAAAGGGAAAAAAGAATCCACTTATGATGTATGAATTAAAGAAAATATTGGCAACATACATGGTACAAGTTAGCAGTTAAGAATCCAAATGCTGCATCAGACTGCTTCAAATCCTGGCTCTGCCATTTCTAAATGTATGACCTTGAATAAATTACTTAACCTTGTACCTCAGTTTTGTCATCTGGAAAATGGCTTTTAATAGGATTGTTGTATCATTAATGCATAAAAAGCTTAGAACATGCCTGCAAACTTATGTGTTAGCTTTTACTAATATAGTCTCAATTCTCCTAAAGGAAATCTTCCAAACTTGTGTAAATGATTATCAAAAGCCAAAGGAAAAATCATGGTACCAAAAGTCCATAGGATTAAAAGCATTACACAAAACACATAATCTTTCTGAAGTGGTTTTTAAAAAGAAGAAAAGTAGAATTAACTCTTCCCCTTGATTTTTACATTTTAGAGTGGTGAAACCAGAACAATATCTCACTTTCATTATACTACCTGGCCAGATTTTGGAGTCCCGGAATCACCAGCTTCATTTCTCAATTTCTTATTTAAAGTGAGAGAATCTGGTTCCTTGAATCCTGAACATGGGCCTGCAGTGATCCACTGTAGTGCAGGCATTGGGCGATCAGGCACCTTTTCTCTAGTAGATACCTGTCTTGTTCTGGTAAGTGCTTCTTGTGATCTAATTTTACCCTTGTCTGCTTTTGTATTGTTTTCACTGGCAAAAGTTNCAGGGGCTGTAGCCTACGCCGTCGCCGGGTGACTCACCGCAGCCCAGCTCCAGGTTGAGCTGTTGTTCAGCATCTTAGCTGTAGAGGGCAGTGTCACTGGTCCTCATATGTGGGATCCGAACCAGGGCCCGCTGGTGTCCCAAGCCAGTTCTTAACCATCGCGCCACTCGGCCGGCCCTAAATATTCTTAATATCCATGTATTTCATATTTTTTAAAAAACCTAAAATCCATTAGGTTATCGGATTTTTTCCATGAATAGAACTTAACTCAGCTGTTAAGTGACAGACCAGATCTCCCAACTTCTAATTACATGGGGTTATTATGTCTTTTGAAAAAGATGCTAATTGTTGTAAAGGAAAATTTTTGGTTCTAAAGCATCTTTTTGAAGTTGAGGTCACCATATGAGTTGGCCAACCACTGTGTTTTAGTTTCTAGCAACTGTGTAATTTCTTCCTGGCCTAAGTTCAGAGTCTACCATAATTAAATAAAAACAATTTGTTTATGTGCTATTTTACAGTCTTTAGTAAGAACTAGAAATGTTAAAAGAATAAAGTAGCATTTCAGTATGAGAGTCAGAATTCCATTTGGTTAAATATTTAGACTCTGGAACCAGATTGCTTGAGTTTAAATCACAGCTCTACCACTCCTGGCTGGGTGAGTGGTCCCATTATTGAACCTCTGTGCCTTAGTTTTCTCATCTACAAAATGAGGATAATGATCTACTACTTCATACGGTAGTGGTAAGGATCAAGTGAATTAATACTATAAAAGTGCTTAAGACTCAATGCAGGATCCACGATTATTAGCTTTAGTTGTCTGTATATGTTTGCTTTGTAATATTAATGAGTTGGGAAGGACTGCAGGAGCGAGGGCAATGGAAAAGAACAAGTTGAGGGAGAAAGAAATAAGGGAGAGAAGGTGATGATGAAGTAGGGAGTGATAGCCAACCTCACCTGCAGATCTTTGCTGGGATTCCTGAGCTACAGAGAACCAGTTGGCTTCTAAAGGAGTCTGGCTTGTATCTATTCACAGATCTAGGGCCAAAGCTGTCTGTGCAAAACCTGCTCTTTTACAGACCTCTTGTCTAATGGAGCAGTAAAGCTACATACATACCAGCAGTCCTTTCTGGTGTCTTGATTAGAGTTAAGAGTTTGAACTTTTGCCCCTGAATGAAGAAATTCCATCTCTGCTTTTAAAGTGGCCCTTTATGTTTATCAAGTTCCAGGAATACTATTGTAATGCTCACTGCTTTCTATTTCTATGTCCCTGTAGATTTGCCCAAAACAGGATGAGTGGCTCATTATTACGATCCTCAGCTGGGATTTGAGTCTGTATAGCTTAAAGAGTTTATCCTACCTGGAATGTTCTTCTGTCTTCTCTGCCTGTTTATAGCCTACCCATCCTTTAGGTGCTACCACCTTGTGCCCCATTTCTTACTTAGGTCTCTCTTAATATATTTGTGACGCATTCATTTCTAACATCTATGATCTTCTCTCCATAATTTTAATTTTAACATTTTACTGGTTTGTTCAGTACTTACATATGTATATATTTTGACTCCTTAACAAGATTTTCAACTCCTCTTGGGCAGGGTCCTTATCTGTTGCATTTGAACTCTTCCTCTGCCACTGCACTGAGTACATTGTTAACTACACTACACCTGAGTGGTTATTCTAAAACACAGGCATGATGCTTCCACCATGCTTTTAAAAATCCTTCCGTGGTCAATGCAGAAGTCTATGACGCAGCCCATTCTGGTCCTTGCCTCCTTGTCTACCTCATCTCTTTCAGGCATTCAGTATTTGTTCTTGCTAAAAGACTTGACTTCTCAAGTAGGTTTTTCCTGGGGAAGGCCCATGCCTCTGTATATTGCTTTTTTCTTTGCTTAGAATGAAAGACCCATACCTAACTTCCTGTCACTTTCCTCTCCTCCAGATCTGGTGAGTTCATTAATCTTTTCAAAATAAATTACAATAAGTAAATACTTAACATGGACAATATAATGATCCTGGCAAAAATTAATGAGAGATTGAACTAAGGCAGTGACAATGAGGGTACAGATTTCATATATTAAATATTTTTTTAGGAGATAGGGTTGACAAACTTTGGTACTCTTCATGTGTAGAGGAAATAGTAAGTAAAGAGATTGAAAATGTGGAGAGTTTTACAACTGGAGCTTATTAGGGATGACAATAAAGGCAATTAGTGAGTATAATAGTTTCAGAAATAGCTAGTATCTGTTAAGCATTTACCATGTGCAAGCATATGTTAGGCACTTTACATTCATTATTTCATTTATTCCTCACAATAACCTTATAAGGTTAGGACTTTTTTGTTTGTTTGTTTTTAAACAGCTGAGCCATCCTGCCACCTGTTGGCAGCTCAGTTTGGGCCGGGAATCCAGCCACTGGTTGCTCAGAGCTTGCACTCTTGAGCGAGCTCTTAACCAACTGAGCCACTTGGCTGGCTCAGGTTAGGACTACTTTAACCCCATTTACAGATGACAAAATTGGGGCTTATGAAAGTCTTTTGGAAATATAATCTTGGTACTATATATATATATATATATGCCTAAAAGTGTAAAAATAATTAGGCCTGGAGCCATAAAGCTGTATAGATTTTTATAATATTAGAAAATGCATAATCTTATGTATATTGATGATAAAAATAATAGTTAACTTGAATGGCTTTAGATGGCATATACTTAAATTGCCATAACCCTAACAACTCCCTATTGTCTTATACCTACTCAACTCATACATTATCTTTCTGGCCTACATATATAATGACCTTGATATCCTTATTCAAAGACTTTAAATTTAGAATTCTCCTTCAAAAATGTAAATGAGATTTTTGCCTTAAAAAGAATGATGAACCACTGACATTTTGTGTAGAGTCTGGTGTACATAATGCAACTTTTTACAAAGAAAATTTGATAGGCATGTACGGAGCAGCTAGAGAAGAGGACAGCTATGCAATTGTGGATGCAACCTGGGTATGTTTTGCTCTGAGGTGCAGCAGTGGGAATAAGATGGGAGGTACCTATTTGGCATCACAGAAGGAGAACTCATGTGACTTAGGAGAAGGAAAGAGTGCTTCTACAGTTTGGAAATGAGGATTTTGTCAAGTATTATAAGGTCTAAATGTGGAGCTTGTTTGAAATAAAGATGAATTTTGTTTTAGCTCTCCATCCTTTGGCAACCCTTTTTTCCCCTCATTTTTTTTCCAGCCTGAAAAAGAGGGAAATGGGGTCCAATTATGCATATAAACTTTTCTTTTATATCACAGAGTAAACATATGGCTCTTATTGCTTCTTGTAGTCTTGGGATTTATATGATTTTGTGAGTTTTTAGTCTGTTCTGATAGTGGAAGAAATAGACTAGTTTTCAAAAATCTATTAATGGGGAAGATTATATTATACAAATAGTTGTGAGTATTTCTGGGAACTGGCTTTGAGTATCCCAGACAACATGACCTGAATTTGAAACACATAAATAAACAAGGGACCACTAGTCTTGAGCCAAAATCATACAAGCAAAGAAAAAGCAAGCGGTTGCTCAGAACTGTGGGATAACCATAGGTTTTGAGCCAGGAGGTGATGCAATAATTGAGCATACAACCATAGAGGGACACTGGGCAACTCCCTAAAGAGTACACACAGTTCACATGCAAGCAGGGTTCTGGGGCCACCTCCCACTCCCTCCCCAAGACCTGGGAGCTCCAGCAGGTCTACATAGACGTGGCTTAGGTTCACATGGACCAAGTCTGGCCCTGCTGTGCATAGTCAGCATTGCAGGCAGCTGTCAGGGGGAAAAGGGTTAAAAACACACACTGGAATCTTAGACCCCATTTAAAGGAAAAGGAGACTTTGAGTTAAATATACCTTTGAGCTAATCAAGGACCAGCCTCTTTATCCCATTCCTATCTTGGTATTATGTTGTTACCTGTCCGTTTATGACTTTGTAAAAGCCTTCTTAGTTTGGAATGTTTTATATACCTTTTTTTAACACAGTAAATTTAATTCCCTTTTTACATACAGGAAGACACAATCTTTTTGGTATATAGTTCTATGAGTTTTACCAATGCATTCACTTGTGTAACCTCCTCCCCCATCCCCATCAAGATATATAATATAATGGTTCTAGCACCACCAATCTCCGCCCTCATTTTCTCATTCTGTCTGTGTATAGTCAGGCCTACTCCCTACTCCCAGATTGTCGTGTATGTAGAATCATACAGTATGTATCTTTCAGAGACTGGCTTCTTTCACTTAGCATACTTTGGAATTTAAAAGGAAATGTTTTGAAATCTAGTCATCATAATGATCATTTCAGTAATAGGGAAATCTTCTAGTACCCTTAGTATATTGAGAACCTATGGATCATGTGTATTTGGAATTATGAAAACTGGATGTTAGGAAAAAAATGAGTCACTAAAACTATATTATAA